ATGATTTCCTTGATAGAGGATTGCTGCTCACAAGGAAGCTATTAAGCCAAGAGTTCCAAATGGTGAAGTTGAAATCATCCCTTCGTAAATTTTACGGACGCCATCACGAGTTGGTTGACCGTTATGGAATAACCGTTTCACAGATGATATCGGATATGTTCCTTATGTCGTAACTACAATACCCTTCCCTTTTCACGAATGTGACTTACCGAATTAGACTATTTACCGGATTTGTAATAACATAAGCAACACGACGGGTGCCACATGTGGAGCAGGATCTGCTCACCCTTCCGGAGCACCTGAGATCACCCCCAGTTTTTGGTGGGGTTCGTGTTGCTTAGTCTTTTGTTTTCTATGTTGTGCCATCTGTACTATTATTTGTCTGTTTGTCTTTTTATTTTGGCCGTGGCGTTGTCAGTTTGTTTTCGATCTATGAGTTTGACTGTCCCTCTGGTACCTTTCGTCCCTCTTTTCTATCCACTAGAGATAAAAAGACGTTGGTGTAAGCAACTATAGGTTGTCGTACAACCTTTAACATTGAGCAAAACCAAAACTGTACAGTAAGCTATGGAAAAGGCTCCGACATGACAAACTGTGAAACAATTCAAACAAGAAAACAAACTATACAGGCATCTGACTTGGGATAGGGAAAATGTGGCGGGGTTAATTCTGTTTTTGAACATACAACCCTCGCATAAACTGGGACAATGGTGTAATAGCAAAACATAAGACAAACGGTAAACATCAGTTGGAAAAGACTTCACTCACCAGATCGGAACGAAGCACATAAAAAACTAACAAAAGACAAAAGACATATAGCAATCTAGAACTAAAGGGCACTCGTAGTTACTCGCAGTTACTGAAAGCTAGTTCAAAGCTAATGACGACTAATAAATAAATCATGGTTGTCCAGACTAAAATATCAATCATTACACATCTAAAGAATTTAGCGTAAAGTCTTTGATTTATTAAATATACTATCAATGATAGTACCTATAAATAAATATTCAAAGATCTTACTACAGCGTTAAATGGATAACCTTTATGATTAAGTTTATTCAAAGGACCACGAGTTAACATGTATCGTATATTAATCAACAGGTTCTATATATAACATCTTCGTTAAAATCGGAATGTGATATTCCGTTTGTAATAATACTTGTACGAAGATACAAGCATCTTGTCCAGTGGAGGGATAATCGTACCTTGTAAAAAATCACTCTGATTCAAACAAAAATTCTCCGAAACTGACGTTATCAATAGGCTTGATTTCTTGATTGTTGTATTTGGAGAACGTGTTTTTCAACAAGCAGTCGGCATTCCCATGGGAACCAAATGTGCTCCTCTTCTTGTCGACTTGTTCCTTTATTCATATGAGGGACGGTTGAGAACAAACTTTTACGACAAAAGAGATGATTTCAGCTTCCCTTTTGTGAACTTTCCATTTCTATGTAGCAACATTCCAGCAGCGCCTGCATATGTTGTGTATATCTCCCTGCTGATTCGATATTCCGGAGCTTACATTTACTATCATTATTTCGTCTACCAAGAGTAATAATTATGTTGGCAATCAAAAAATATTGATGATATCAAGACTTTTTGTATTAAATTATGCCTTTCGATCATAAAACTGTATTCAGTACTCGGAGTACAAAATTTGTTCTTGAAACACCAAATCCAGTATATTCATTGGTTGATTTCTGAGTCTGAGTACGATAATCGTACTCGAAAGTTTTATGGCCGTAAGAACAGAGTGTGTGTTGTTACAAAGTATGATGTTATCCCTTTATACAACAAGATCTTTATATCTACCTTTCTTCCTATGGAACAAATTTGTTCTAATTCTTGCAAACTGTCTGTAAGCATACAATGAGGAATACCTGTATAAAGTGTTTACAAGTCAAATGTTTTTATTCATATTTATATATATATATATATGTATATGTGGCCTTCCAATAACCGTTTCGATTCCTAACATCACTGTAGAGACATTAATTGTCGAAATCCGGATATGGTGTACAAAAAATCTTTGCACCTTTGTTTGCGGTATATCATCTTTGCCGCAAGTTTATTGTTTTCTGTTTGGTATTAAATTTATAGTTAAGATTCATTTATTACACCTTGTAATCCGTTTATTTGGCAATCGCCAATGGCAGTCAGCAGGATTTAAGAACATTTGTTGCTCGACCTGTTAGTCAAATGCGTTTGTTAAAATATACTTTTTCACTTTTTTGTTCTTTTGGAAAATGTTGTTTGTGCTGTATTTAGACCCCTCTAACAAGAAATTTGTTTTGCATGCACACGTATAAAAACTGCGGTTTTTTATCCAACGCAATCATAGGTTTGAACGTTGTTTTCAATTTAGACTTGTTTATATATATATATATATATAAGGCCCCTAGAGTAGGTGAAGCTGTCAATTTAAAATACCAAAGATAAACAAAGAGTAGGTTACCCAAATCATTTTTAGCTTGTGCAATAACATGACGATGATTTAAACTATTACACATGACAATGTGATAGTTTTCTGAACTAATTGTCATTAATCATTCATAAAACTAATTGTCAATAGACAACAAATTATCGCATCTATCCACATGACGTCTTTCTCAGAAATATGGTACATAAGTATCTCCTGAAATGGCAAATAAAAGTGCAGCTCTGTTAAAAGTGGGATAATTCCATCAAGTTAATTCAATATGTGCAAAATCAACCCGAATCTATTGGGAAATATATGGAAAACTTCTTTAGAAAATATCACGATTATTATTTTAAGAATTGAAATGAAAACCAAAACATAAAGATATATCAAAATTGTAATCCCCATAGTCTTTCTGATTAAAAAAATATCAAATTCTAAACCAAATGGAATGAGAATATCAGTTTTGTAATCTTTTATTGTAGTAAGAAATTTCTTTTCCACCTACTGTATTTCTTCTTGGTCACAATATTTAAAAAAAAAATTATGATATCAAAACTGCATATTGGTGAGTTTTTTTTTTTACAGTTCTCCAAAAATACATTAAAGCCTCCAATTCTCTTAAACGTTTATGTTTAAGTAACTTAAAGAAATTTGGCAGATGTGTAGCTAATTTAAACGACGTCAAAATTAAAAGAACATCGATATAGAAAATTGCATATGGAATATACCATTTATGAATACAGCCGTATAGCTTAAAGATAATTTTAGGATCCCTTTAAATACTGCAACATATCACACTTTAAACCATGTTTACTACTATTTAGGATATAGCTTTGGAACTATTCATTTTGAATGTTTTGCCTATGATGAAATAAACTAATACAAAACATGATGAAATATGACCTTCGATGATTCTATTGTAATGTTAAAGACCATTATATTGTGGCTCTTAATTTACACTTGTAATGACGATGGCTCTATAAAAAAGAAAAAGAATTTTCACACGTGTAAGATTAAAAAAGGATGTGTCAAAATATTTTGGTCCGAAAATTGAGGGACCAAAACTAGTCTACCTATGCTTTAACTCCTACTAATTACAATATTAAAGCCTGAGGGAAGAATCAGTTAGTCTCAATTTTTGTTATGCTTAAGGACAACAATTAAGTTTGAATCCAACCCGTAAGCAGATGTTTAGGAACCGAAACAATCGTAATGGATCAAAAAGTAAAAAGTGTACCCCATTTATGAAAGTTAATCTGACTTTTGTTTAGCGACTCAAAATGTCTGTCCCAAGCAAAAACGAAGCCCTTCCTCGTAAAGTAAATGAAAGGTTTGTGCTGCTATATATAAAATTAATTAATTAAAATCAATACTAATTTATATATTGTAATAAGGGAGTTTATTATTCGAGGAAAAAAGGTAATATTGAAGTAAAAACTAGTACTAGTTAATATCGATTTCGTGTATGAAGGGCTCTAAGAAACCCCCATGATGAAACTATAAGTTTCTTTTATTATTTGACACTCGATAAGTTTGAACTATTTACAATATCGAATCATTTCTAGTTTGGTAATTACAATACGTATTGTTTTTATCTTAATTTACATTTTGCTGAAGAAAGCATTGATAACACTTATAAAACTGTCTACCAAAACAGACCATTACATGAATCTGATAAACTAAGTATTTGTTTCGTGAAACACCATGTAGTCAGCAATAAAGTCGTGAAATCTGCTAGACTCCGTGATGTAATGAGTGATATATGTGTTGTTTCTATGTAAATGTTGCATAATAGACTTTCATTCACTGTCCACGATGATGGTTATATGTCATAATGAATAACTGTCCTTCAGAAGTTGTGAAATACTATATAAACCTAACGAACGGTATATTCTAGTGTCAGTGAACATTAAAAACATTTGAAGAAACATCCCACTACAACAGTAAGTTATTTGTTGTATATTTCGTGACTTATGGTTTACACAAAATTACACGTATTTCAACTTACTTAGGTCAGTGTATGTGAATTATCTTTATTAGTTGTTTAAATTGTGCAACCAACAATGCGAATGCATGAACGCGACATGCAATTTCTCGTTTAAAAAAAAAAAGATTAAAGAATATTAAGTATTTATGCAGTTGTTTCCGATTGATTACACCGCCACTACTTCTATGATACTTCTAGTGACACATTCACATTGTCTTTTTTTAAGCTCAGAATTCCCATGATCCATACACATACAATGGCATTGACGTATTTTTTTCCATTATCGATTTATACCCATTCTGATTATTATCTAACATCGTACTTTCATTGTGTTTTCCTTTGGTTTTCCCAAAATTATTGACAATTCAAAATGATTAGGATAAGCAACTCCTGCTATGCACTCATCGCCCGCCATGCATATCCATACTGAGTCATGAATACCAGGAGAATGTATAGGTAGTAATTGGTAGTAAAAGATAAGAGTATTTTTGTATACTTACATTTATCAAATTTATATCCTACTAAATTTAATCTGATTTCATTCAAATATAGGATCTGACGTAGCAAAATAAATATGGCCAATTTATAAATATGGCCAATTCATAAATATGGCCAATTTACCCTGAATTCGTTTCACTCAACAGGGTCATTCTTTGAAAGTTAATGAAACGTAGTGAATTTGCATATCATAAAGTTTGAAAAATATCCATTTTTTTGCAAGAATATTGCAACATCGATACAGAAAATTGCATATGGAATATGCCATTTATGAATACAGCCGTATAGCTTAAAGATAATTTTAGGATCCCTTTAAATACTATGATAGGAACTAAGATAACATTTATAATTTATAATTGAGATTTTCTAAATTGAAATTTAAATGATATAATAATCATCAAATACTTTAAGTTTTTGATTGTAAATTACCAGGTTTGTTGGTGCTGTTAGTTGTTGCAATATCAGGAACAACTCTATATTTCGAATTAGAAGTGGATTACAATTTTCAGTATAGAACTTTAACTTTTATTAGATGATATTATTAAGCAAACCTTTAATGTTTATCAGAAAGACAGTTTATTAAGCAAACCTTTAATGTTTATTAGAAAGACAGTTTATTAAGCAAACCTTTAATGTTTATTAGAAAGACAGTTTATTAAGCAAACCTTTAATGTTTATTAGAAAGACAGTTTATTAAGCAAACCTTTAATGTTTATTAGAAAGACAGTTTATTAAGCAAACCTTTAACTTTTATTAGAAAGACAGTTTATTAAGCAAACCTTTAACTTTTATTAGAAAGACAGTTTATTAAGCAAACCTTTAATGTTTATTAATATATTGGACAGAACATACACCATGCTCAGATTAGTTGCTCTTGCTATCTGCGCCTCAATGGCTTTTGGATACGGATACAGCGGTGGATATGGACATGGAATTGAAATTCACGGGGGATACGGACAGAACTATGGTGGTTACGGTCAAGGAGGATATGGTGGATACGGACAGAACTATGGAGGTCTCGACCAGGGTTATTACGGCGGGTACGGGTCAGACTTTGAATTTGGCGGATATGACAATGGAAATATCGGATATGGAAACGGATACGATTTTGGAGAAAGCTGGGGAAATGGATATGGTGAAGGACATGGTTTGATCAGCATTGGAAAAGGATACGGTATTGGCGGAGGATATGGAAATGGATACGGTGAAGGACATGGTTTGATCAGTATTGGTAAAGGATATGGTATTGGCGGAGGATATGGAAATGGATACGGTGAAGGACATGGTTTGATCAGTGTTGGAAAGGGATACGGTATTGGCGGAGGGTATGGAAAAGGACATGGTGTTGTCAGTGTTGGAAAAGGAAAATATGGTAAATATCTGTAATTGTTTAATTTTATAACATTTGACAAAGCCGATGCAAATATGTTGTCAACGAAAATTGCAAACATGCATTTTTTTTAATTCTTATTAATATCAGATTTCATTTTAGCAACTTACCAAACATAATATATAACATTGACATTAGTTTACTAAGCCTTTATAGTTTAGTTTGATCTTCATATACTTTAAACTTATAAATTTCTTTTTTTCTTTGTAGGTCAGTATTGAGAACAGTAAAAAAAATAGTAACAGAAACAGTCCCAAAGTGCTACACAATTCTCAAGAACCATATGAAAATAAAACTTGGAATTAAAAATATTACTTCTTTCTTTTTTGATACGTGTATACCCAATTGCGCTTCTGTGTTCTATAGAAGAATTTAAAACAATCGAAAAATTGGAATAAAACAATATTTAACTTTTTATCTTGAGATAAGAATGCGGTGGTGTTAAAAAAACATGTTATAACATTGCCATAATTATGGAATGATACGCAGTTCATATTGACATTTTTCTTCGGCACAACTGAAATATAGATAGTTTAAATGTCTGTTTGTGTAAAAGTTTGAATACCAAAGGTGGTGACATATTTCTACAATGTGTGTAGTTTGAGCTTTCCAAAGAAATGTCAGATCAGATAGTTCTGTTTAAAGTGTCCTTGTAAAGTTATATGAACTGGAAAAGATCAGCATATATTATCAACCCTCGCTTGAATATACACATTGTAATTAAATCTAAGCACCAAATACACTATGAATAAGAGTTTTTTCATATAACCAAGAGATTTTTCGACTAACTTTTAAATATGAATAAAAAGAGAATATTGGTAAACATTAAAAAAAACAAATCAACAAGACGAATAGTACAAAAGATCAGTAACAAGAAACTTCTCTTAAATTTCTCGTAAGTCATAGTTTACGATAACACAAAGAATGCGCTAAGAATCTTTTAGAGTGTAATCAGAACCATTCTTTCCTCGCCCTTTTCCTTCTCTTAACATCGTTTAGGAATACCCTTAAGGCGGTCTTATTCTAAACACACTTACTCAGCACATTGTCTTGAACATCTGGGGCCAGTAACAAGAAACCTCTCTTAAAGTTCTCGTAAGTCATAGTTTACGATAGGACAAAGAGTGCGCTAAGAATCATTTAAGACTGTAACCAGCACCATTCTTTCCTCGTCCTTTTCTTTCTCTTAACATCGTTTAAGAATACCATTAAGGCGGTCTTATTCTAAGCACACTTACTAGCTTTCCGTCCTATCCGTCAACGTTTTCTTTCTTTGATTTAGTCATTACCAAACAAAAATCTCTCGTGCGTTTTAAAGTAACAGGATTTTTTGCTTACATAGTTTGCTAAATTATTGATCCTGATAAAGTTAACAACGTGGGAAATTTTAGAGAAAAAAGAATATGATGACTCAGTGCGAAAACCGAATATTCAACATGAAGAAATATCCTCGTCCCCCCCCCACCAACGGAGAAATTTTCATTGGTTATAGATCTATGAATAAAAGAAAGATTTCATTCATTTTCGAAACCCCATACGACGATGTTTTATAGTTTTTTGGGGAAATTTGAGGATCATTGAGAAATAAAAAGATGTGGTATGACTGCCAATGGGACATTTCTCTACCAGAGACGACATGACGTGAATTTAACAACAGTTAACTATATGTCTCCGGTAACGGCCTTCAGCAGATTTGGGGATCAGTAGATATAAGACAGTATTTTATTTAAATTTAATTTTTAAATAAGAAATATCGGAATATTCATACCGTTTATTCCGTTAAAATGCAGTTCATCTTTTTCATGAACGGAATAAAATGTACTGATAAAGCGATATATAGTTACATGTAGTAATTTTGTTAGTTTTGGTGGGAATTTGGGGATCAGTATTTATGAAATACTATTTTATAATTTTAGGCGAAATTTGAGAATCCGTATATATATATAACACAGTGTTTTAAAAGTTAGGGGGAAATTTGAGGATCAGTATATATAAGGCAGTATTTTAAAGTCTTTAGGGGATCAGTATATTTAAGAATCTATTTTAAAGTTTGGGGGGGGGGGATTTGAGGATCAGTATATATCAGACAGTTGTTAGTATACAAATATTATAAAGGATATAACCATAAGTCATATATGCTCGCTCTGTCCAACCGATGTTTCTTGATAATTTGTTGTTTCTTGATAATTTGTCCATCTGTCACAAAATCAAGAGGATTTTAGTGGTCATGGAATAAACGTCTTGTGATAACATTAAAGGTACCTATTTTTCTGCACCAGATGCGCATTTCGACAATAAATGTCTCTTCAGTGATGATCGAGGCCAAAATATTTGAAAATCCAAAACTTATTAAAAATATGAAGAGTTTATAAACCAAAAATGACAAAACAGTATAGCCAAAGTCGGGCAAGGAATCAGAGCTTTGCGTGAGGGAGATATATTCCTTAATTTAAAATAATTTCCAAAAGTTTGTAACAGTAAATTTTAATAACACAAAATCCGTATGTTCATGTTATTAAAGCGATCTTGATTTCTTCACCTGTTAATTATTCATCATATTTAAAACAAGCGCCATTTTCATTCAAAGAGTAGTTTAGGAGTGAGTAGAACCACACTTACATTTAAACGCGTTAAGTAACAATCGTGTTTCGCTCGTAAATGCTTAAGTTGATGCAAAGAGTTTTTACTAAAGGACAAGAAAATTAAGATCTTTTCGAGTTACCCGAAATTGATAAGTTAATGATAAGGGAAGGCAAATAATTCCCTTAAATCCGTAAGAAATTCGAAAGTCTTAAGGGCTGTCAATCATTCTAAGATTGATATAAGATTGCTTCTTGTTACACTCTTAGTCACTAAGACAGTCTTAATATGATCTTAAGTGTTAAGACAGCTTCTTGTTACCGGCCTCTGATAAGTATCTTGACCATATGTCTCCAAGACGAGGTTCGTGATTTGGAAAAGGCACAACAGATTGCACTTATGTAAAAAAAAAAAGCAATATAAGGAAGGAGTATATATCTACTGGTTGATACTATAGTCAAGCGACTCATTTCACCAAAAAATCTTTAAAGAAAAAATACTCATTATCATTTCTTGAATCAACATAGCTTAGGATCAATTTTAATCGTAAGATGTTTTTGTGAATGGAGCCCCAGGATTTCATTCCTTACATAATTTTCTTAAAGGGAGGTTACAAAAACAGAATGGAAACCAATTGTTTTAATAATAAAGTGAAGTCACCTCTTCAAAATCACTGAAATAAACAACTATCACAGTACGGCCTTCAACAATGAGCAAAACCTATATCGCATAGTCAGCTATAAATTAAAGGCCCCGAAATGACAAATGTAAAACAATTCAAACGAGAAAACTAACGGCCTAATTTATGCATAAAATAATGAACGAAAAACAAAAATGATACACAGAAACAAACGACAACCACTGAATTACATGCTCCTGACGTGGGACAGGCATATACAGAATGTTAGCGGGCGCCCAAACCTCAAAGTTCATATCATTTCGGAGTATCTGAGTTCAAGCCTCGTTTTGGATTAAAGGGTTGGTGTTGCTTTTTATTTAGTTTTCAGTGGTGTATTTTATGGTGTTCTAGCTTTCAATTTCTGTGTTGATTCTACCAGTAACAGTCTTGTATATCCTTTGATTGGAAAACCATGTTTTTATTTAGAACTTACACATTTGGCCAAGTTTTTAGAGAATTACAAGTACAGTTGGTAAATGCGAATGCATGTGGATGATGCATAATCACGGAATATGACTCACCAACTTATTTAAAACAGGGGTAACTCGGCTGGTGTCACGATAGAAGTAGCTAGTGCTGATTTCGCAGAACAACTGAATTTATACCTTGTCCCACAGTATTCTCTGGGGTTCGCTGATTAATCTTTAGTTTTCTGTGTAACAGGGGTAACTCGGCTGGTGTCACGATAGAAGTAGCTAGTGCTGATTTCGCAGAACAACTGAATTTATACCTTCTTCCACAGTATTCTCTGGGGTTCGCTGATTAATCTTTAGTTTTCTGTGTAGTGTTGTGTGAACATTTGTTTGTCTATTCGTCTTTTTACTCAAGCACAATGATCGAGCGCTTGAGTAATCTATTTTGATGCTATTTTTGTTACTAGCTAAGTTGATCCTGCAAATTTCTATACCTTACAAATACTTCTATATTACAACCTTCTAAGGCACTTCCATGCTAAACTATGTAACTATTCACACCATTCTGGTAATCTTTCAATTAAACCGGAAACAAACATACAACGGCCTTAAAACTGTAACCATTATTATGCTTGATATTTTATATTTTTTCAAACGAAACACCGTGAAATGTGTATAGGATCTATTTATTCACACATCTTTGAATCTATCATTTTTTCTTTAATGTACTTACGGTAAATACTTTAAAAACATAATTTTTTGCTCCAACAACAAGATTTCAACAAACATGCTTCATATAGTTTGTGCAAACAAAGGCTATGTAAGAACATATCAGTGCTATACTTTTAAGCATTCCTGATGACCGTAAATCCAGAAAAGTGCTTCAGACGAACTAAATTTATTGCTTCACGATGAGAAGCTATATATTTTATACAATATACACGTCAGATTGAAATTATCATTACTTAACAGACATTAGTTCTAATTGGTCTCTGAAAGATAAGGCTAATATTCCATTGGTTGATTGAGATATAAATTTAGGCACACGTCAGAAAGAGGAGTTCCGAATGTAACCTTTTTGGTCTAATGAATATAGTTTTTGCTTTTTTATCTTGATTTTCATTTCACAGAACTTAATCGTGATCCTCAGTACAGAACTTTTACCTCGTAAGGTCGCTTTTAGTATAAATTACTTTATCAAATGAAACTGAAACCAAAATAAAAGTCGCCAAAAAAAAAAATAATTCAAAAACTAATAAATACTTGTGCAAAAAATGAATAAATCAAAACTGTCTTTTTCTTCTAAAAATTACAAAATCACAAAAAAAAAAACCTTACGTAAATATATGATACTGCGAAGCACGCCATACCTTTTTGGGAAGGTTATACTTGAAAAGGGTTATTTTCATTTCGATACCACTGCAGCTCACCACTGCAGGTGGACTGCTAGTCTCTAACTGTATCATTCCAGCAGTCAGCTCTTCGGTACCGACATGATTTAATATAAACTTTTATCTCTGTCATTTGGTCTCTGATAGATGGTTGTCTCATCTGCAATCATACCACATCTTCTTTTCATATTTTGTTAAATTCTTTGTTGACAAATTTATAAATTATTTAGAAACTAAGGTTCTGTCTC